TACGGCATCGTCATGTGGGAAGTGATGTCATTTGGAGAGAGGCCTTACTGGGACATGTCCAACCAGGACGTAAGTTTATTTTGACAAAGCAAAAAAAACATGAAACTGTATCATTGCTTTCTTGATGAGATGTGTTTTGAAAGGATACCAGGACATTACACAGTGAGAAATAAACTTAAGATACAAGATATGGAGATAGGTGTGATTGGACAGGCAGAAAAGTGTAATTGTCAAAAAATGTTCAAGCTTGTTTTTTTTTTTTACTGCATTGAAGTTGAGAAAACTGCCTCATTGATAGGAAGGCCATTTCCGTACAGATGTTGTTATACTGTCTTTTCACCCCACAGATACACAATCAAGGATAACTCGTAAGACAGGAAGCTGTAATAAATCACACATTTTTTATCAGTTCTCATCTCATAGCATCATCTCTGAAGATGTCCTTGACTCTGACTTTGAAAGCAGACTTATTATGGAAACAGTCTCACACTATCCCCTTTCCTTCCTGGCTGGCTTTTGAGAGCAATGAATGATTGCTGAGAGCTCTGCTTTGTTCCCCATGTCCGTTTGGATAAGGTCCACGCACACAGACTCCCACAAACACACAGGCACCAACACAAACACACACAACCATTGGATATAGTCCCACACTATGAGGTCTCTCTCTCCCTAAGCTCCTTTAGTGAGACAACTAGCCAACCATCAGGCCTCTATGGACCCTGCTCCACGAGGACCGTCCAACCCAGCAGATGTTGCCTCAGTGGGCCAGCAGCAAACACTGCCTGGTGGGACTAATGCAGAGAAGAGGACTGGCACCGCTCAGCATGTCCGGCTGCTCGATACATACACACATACACACTTAAAAACACACACAACCACTTCTCCATATGCACCATTTGTCAAGATTTTGCTGAGTTGCACACAACTCCGGGGTGGTGTTGGCAACCTACGGAGCAGCCTCTAATTTTTAATGATAGTATCTTTTGCACTTGATTTCACACCAGACCCTTATCTCGCAACTATGCATTTTTAAGAAAAGATTACATCTACAGACAGAATGGATATATGGATATGGGTGAGAGCTAGGCCCATCAGTGTGCAATGCAGCAATCTGGGTAATCTTTAGTCTTTGCAGTATCAGAGAAGTTCATAGCTGCAGATTAACTTTTTACTTTATGTTGAACTATATTTATTTTGAGTTCACTGTTTGCATATTTTTTACAATCATACATTATTGCTAACAAAGGTGGTCATTGAATTACAGGTACCCCACTAAGTCTCCAAATCTGCCTCAAGTTCTGATAGAACCATTCAACTGTTACAAAATACTTGACTGTAACTCTGACGACCCTGAAACTATTTGTTGTAGCTTCTCTCTAACAAGGCCAGGATAGCCTGTGCTGCCTTTAAGAGACATGTGTCAAGTGGCTGCACTTCACAGTGTTAATTATATGCAATCTACCCATTCCCCAGTGCCTTCTTTCTACAGTGGCACTGCTTCTGCTATCTTTCCTTGCTCTGTCCTCCAGGAGTGACATGTGATTGGCTAGAATTGAGAGGAAGGGCACGTCCGCCTGAAACTGTCTCTTGAGTGACCAGAGGGGGTGTTTGTATGGGGTGGTGGTGGGGATGTTGGTGGTGGTGGTGTTGTGGAGGCAGGGATGTGCGTGTCAGGATTACAGAGTGGATGTGCCTAATGTCATCAGTCCCTGAAAACTCATTCAAATTAGTGTTTTGTTTTTAATTAAGTGTACTATTGACAACCAGCCAGCTTGTAGAAAAACACTGTTACTGAGAGAAATTAGTTTTTATTACTGTATGATTTACACTTGGTATATAAAATTAGGATTATCAGTTGTCTTGATTTCAGAATAACTAACAACCCGATCTTCCCCTTCTCCCCCAGGTGATTAATGCCATTGAACAGGACTACCGTCTGCCACCGCCTATGGACTGTCCCAGTGCCCTGCACCAGTTGATGCTGGACTGTTGGCAGAAGGACCGCAATGTCCGACCCCGCTTCACAGACATTGTCAGCACCCTGGACAAGATGATCCGTAACCCCACCAGCCTCAAAGCTGTAGCCAACATCCCTGCAGTGTGAGTAAAAACACTTTTTTCCACAGCACATGAAACACACATTCACCCTGAAGAGGACATTAAGTATGCACAAATATGCTTTTCATCTGTTTATATACAGTATTTACACAGGCTGTCTGCACAAACTAACCCAGCACGCACATGCTTACTTATTTTCCTCTCATAAAATAAACATGCATTTATTACTGTTGATTGCATCAAACCTGAACTTTTCCTCCCCGGGATCTTTTTTTCCCCTGCGGCTTATGATTCTCTCGCACACCCAGAACCCCATATTGGCTTTAGAAAGTTCACAATTTCCACATTCTGTGGTGTTATATTAATTGATTTTATCCAATGTTTTTAATTAAATCATACAGAAAGATGTAATTTATAAAGATATTCAGAATGGTTGTGTTATTCTGTAGAGGCACCAGTATCCTTGATTTGTTTTGAATCTTTTGGACTTGCCAGTTCTGCACACCTTGCTTTGGACAACTTCCTCAAAGATCCTCTCAAGCTCGGCCAGATTGGATGTGGACTGTCTGTGAACTGTGAGTTTCAGGTTTCTCCACAGTTTCCATTCCAATTTCCAGGCTTTGGCTGGGCCACTGAGGGTCATTCAGAGACTTGTCCTGAAGCCACTTGTTTTGGCTGTGTTCTTTGGGTTGTTGCCATGTTGAAAGGTGAACTTTTGGCCGTGTGCAAGTTTGATTTTGTGCAGTGGAGCATGTTTTTCCACCAGGTCCATCCTGTATTAAGCTCAGTGCAGTTTCTTTAATTATGACAACTTTCCTAATATCTGACACTGATAAGCATCACCATTGCATGCTTCGTTGTAGTGACAGTCAGATAATGAGTGGCATCTTCGTTTTTATTAGCTGCAGCACTTGGCATTCAAGCCAAGGAATGGAAGTTTTCTGTAATGATACCAGAGAATATTTTCCAGTTCTTTTTAAACATTTTTATAGATCGGTAGGTAAGTAGGTAGATAGAATGTATAACATCATAATGTGGTTAAAAAAAGGAACTTTCCAAAGCCAATATTCACACAGCACACATGCACACCTTCTCCTTCTCCATCTTGCATCCTCTCTCACACACACCTACGCAAACACCATAACCTCAGTTTCTCTCCTTCTCTTTAAATTCTTCTTGCTGAATATTGTATCAAAGCACTGCTATATACCTCCTCTTACCCCCTTCCTTCACTCTCCTTCCTCCAGGCCTTCTCAGCCACTGTTGGACAGATCCATACCTGACTTCAACACCTTCAGCTCAGTAGAGGACTGGCTCGCTGCCATCAAGATGAGCCAGTACAGAGACAACTTCCTCAACTCAGGCTTTACCTCCCTGCAGCTGGTGGCTCAAATGACCTCAGAGTGAGTTCACCTGCTCGTGTGCAAATGCAAAGAGCCAAACCCATATGGCACTTGATGGGCACACTTGTATAAAATGACTCAACGTCAAGTGCGTGTATTTTTAGCATGAATGCGCCCAGTGACTCAAGTCTTTGGATGATTGCATCAAAGTAAAGCCTGTGTTGCTCTATATCTGTTAGATTTATTTCAGGCAAATCCAGTTAGTCTTCCTCATGGGTGCCACAAATATCTTGGGTAAGGCAAAATTTTCTGCAAGTTTGGAATCCAAAGAAGAATAGCTAATTAAGGCACTGAAAATCGGAGTGAATAAGCAACACTTCTGCGTAATGCATTAAAATATAACTCATTACTACAGAAAACAACATAGTCATTGTAGTAAGAATATTTCCATCTGTAGTTTTCAAGTATTATGGCTACTGTCTGGATTTTCTATGCGCAAATTTCTAATGATAATCATGCAAATCTTGTAATACACATTTTAAAACGGCAATATTTATTTGCTGCTGTTTATGTGGAATATTTCAAATCATGTGTCATGACAGCATTACTTGTAGCACTTGTGGTACCAATAGACACAAATATTGCACTTTGTTTATTTTAATTAACAATGTTGCTTGGTCTACAAATTTATGTGAAAATGTAAAACATTTTTTATTAAAAATGTATGCTTGAGGCTGGGTGGCATTTCACAGTCTCTTTGCAATGCAAAGCAACATGCATGCTAAGTCTTCTCTCAAGTGATAGAATTAATTTAGTAAATTTGTGTTTTCTGTTCATTGCCACAAGCTTTCCACCCTAAAATGGTGCTTTCATATATTGTGATGTTAGGACTGTAAGTGCACCAGGAAAGGATCATACGATGATGAAATGATGCATTTTTTGCTAGTATAATCGTCTCATACTCAAATGATCCATTCCTTCTTCACTTTGATGGAAATCCCTTCATCTATTACTTCAAAATAAGTTCTTGCTTTTCAATTTTCTTTTTCTCTGCTTCTTTCTCCCTAGGGACTTGCTGAGAATAGGAGTGACCCTGGCAGGCCACCAGAAGAAGATCCTCAGTAATATCCAGTCCATGAGGGTGCAGATGAGCCAGTCACCCACGACTATGGCATGACTACAGGGGGCGCTGTGCCACGGAACGGGCAGCATTCGCAGGACCAACAACAATGGCAGCCCTCGAATGACCCCCGATCCATCGGAACGCGCCAGAGTCGAGACAATTGTCTTAATCTAATCCACTACCATGACAACAGGAGACCAGGGTCTACACTACCACGTGGTTATCAGCCATCACACTTCATGCAATCCACACCAGGAGATCAGGGTTCAGACTTGATACTGTTTCTCCATTTATTCACAAAAGGAAGACAGACAGAATGTGGTTATAGACTGCCATTCATGTCACTGTAAACCAAAACAACTCCAACAATCAGACATCGACACAGGGAATCTCTAACAATTTCAGACTGTAAAATGAGTGATATTGTACTTCTATATTATCTGAACTAGAAGATGTTAAAATTGTAAACCGAAGCGTGAGACATTTAGAAACAACGTGTGACCTGTGATTTTACTGTCGTCAATGTGTGCAATGAAGATGCCTTGACCTGGCCAGAAATAAGTCTCAGAAGAAAAAGCAATTACCAGTAGGAATAATTAGAGGGAGAAGCATACAGGGATGTACAGTGGAGCACCATTTTCAACTTTCACATCATCATTTGCTTGTTTGAAGAATTTGAAAACTTTATTGTAAAAGGACTAGTGAAATTCAGAGCTAGTTATATTTTTGTCTTTTACCATCTGTTTTTTTGTTTGTTTTATTACTATAGCAAGATGCCGCCCACTCGTATTTTAACTTTTAACACTACCTGTGGAGTCCTGGGTGGAAGGCCTTGCCAAAGGACTTCTTAACCAGCCCCACTCAGATTCAGAGAATATAAATGTGTTTATCTCTTGCTAAATATGATTATATCTTTCATAATAAACCTTCATATTGAAGGTGATAATGTATGAATATGTATGTACAGAACTCTCTGCTTGCATTTTTGGCAAAGACATGTTTGTTGATTAGATTGTGATAGACACATGAAATGTGTAGATTTCTATGGTGCCCTGGTTCCCTTTGGACAACTGAACGACGGACACAGAGTTGAACGTCTCCCTGTTCCAGGCGCACAAGGACAATCCTGACTGAATCTTAACCTGAGGAATATGTTAAAGGAATTGTGGGCGAAGAATTGGTATTGTAGATCTATATGAAATTTGCTGTAGGAGTTAAAATAATTGACAAAATATCCATTTACTGGAGATCATGTTTAATGTGGGTGTACACATGCTGTCTCTTGCTGGTGAGCACTTACTTGTACAGATATGTTTTATGTTTTTATTTCTTTTTGTTTTGTTGTTGTTTGTGTTGGGAGTTCTCAGCACCATCCAGAGGAGAAGGAAACTCCACGCTTTGGCCGTCCGAAATCCATGGTAAGTACTTGCTGATCACGCAGGAAAAACACTACTTAATTGCTCTATATATGGTAGATTTTATTTCAGGCAAATCCAGTTAGTCTTCCTCATGGGTGCCACAAATATCTCGGGCAAGGCAAAATTTGCTGCAAGTTTGAAATGCATAGGAGAGTAGCTAATCAAGGCACTGGAAATCGGAGTGCATCAGCATCACTTCTCTACACAGTGAAAATGAACATCTGGACTGAGGTTTGCCAACAGACGCCTGATGCCATTTCGATGAACACACAGACTTAAACAGCCCACACGGGCCCATTGCTAACAGTGTAGCACAGCCTTCCATAGACTGCTATAGCTAAGCTGCTGAGTAAATCTATGTACTCTCACTATTGTTGTGCTACAGAAGGTTTTGCGCATCTGAATCTATCCATAATTTTAAGCTGCAGTTTATGGGCGTTTGAAAATGTACACTTTGGTAGTTGACTGTAAGATATCTACGTCATTCCCAAGGGATGCAATGGATGACTGTCCATGAAATTACACCACAGTTTTCAGGAATTTATTTTGACTGTAGTTCTGGATAGTGCACAGGGATGATTTATTTTCTTTAGTCTGGGGATGGTACTTGATGATTGCATTGTGTTTGGTCTGTGCAATGTGACGGTGTCACAGTGACAACAACTACAGGACAGCTTGATGATGAGTAGTAGTGGCTTTTCTCTTCATCCAACTTTTTTTTTTCTTCTTGCCGGTCACTTGCTTCAGGCTCAGGCTTTTAGAAAGCTATGAGGAATGGGTGTTATAGTTTATAATTCTGTAAAGAGTTTTGATGAAATAACGTTAGCAATGCTGGCCTTTAAAACTGAAAGCAAACTGATCTGAATGTTCCTGTGGCAATATTCCTTTGACATACAGCCATGGCAGCAAAGTCTCTTAGCTCACAGACAATTATCTTGAGCTATTGTAGTATCAATTCTGTGCAGTAGCTGTGACCCTGCTGAAACCCCGTTTGGCCCTATTTGAAAAGACATGAGTGACGACGGTTCTAACCACCTTGCATCCAAAATTAGAAATTGATGGCAGGCCCATTAGCAGATTATTAAGTATACTCACCCCACTCATGTCATCCACCTCCTCCTCCTTCTCTGTCTGTCTGTCCTGCCCTCTCTCCCTGGCTACCCCTGCTGGCTGGCACACCTCCAGCTCATTCATCCTGGGTGTAACCAAGCTGTCCTGGGCTGGGGCTGGGCTGGGCTAGGCCAGGGCTGGCCTGAGAAATGGTTGGCTCCATGCTCCAGTGGATCCAGGCAAGGGTGCAAACACCTGCTGGGACCCTCGTCTGACAGGCATCTGATCAGCCACAGGGAGGGAGACTGATGGGAGTGTCAAAACACAATACACACAGACACAGACACACACACACAGATACGCACAGGATAACCCTCAATTATGTTATTCTCGCGTCTGGTTTCCAGTCTGATGCTTAATGAAAAGAAAATGGGCAAAGAATCGACAGAGTCTGTGCATATGTGATAGAAAGAGGAGGATGAGTCAGTTTACAGAAGGGTGGAGATGCACGACACATGTGACATAAAGAATGGATGGTTAGATGAGGAGTCAGGAGGTTAGTTCATTTAAGTGAATCCGTCCCTATTAACCCGCAGTGTGGTTTATGTGGCAACATCTTTATAATGATCTAAATGTTAATTTCTTTGGTTTAGTTTGGTAATGGAAAATACTGTAATCAAGCAACTGGTTTGCCTCATAGGCAAAATCAATTGCTTTTATCTTTTCAATTCTTCAAGTCATTGATTTACCAAGTATTCCTAAATATAATCACACGCTCCTTGAGATTGGCATAAATCCCTTTCACTGAAGCCAGTGATTCAATTTGAATGCATTAGTCCTCTTTTCAGCTCAGTCTCATATATTTGCTTTTCAACCCAAGAGCCTGTGAATGAGATGATAGAATGTATTCATTATGCAACAGTGTAATTCTTTTTTTTTCTTCCATTATGCTCTGTTTGTCTTTTCTAAATATCTGACTGTAATGACACTCCAGTGTGATGAATGGAGAGGCGGTTCACCATCCCTCTCTGAAAGCTGTTTCATATGGAAGCCATTTATCTCACCCTGATACAAAACACAAGAACAGAGCTTGTTAAATGTTTCATGGTGCTGTAACTGTCGAAGAAGTGACCAACGGTCCTTTTAGGAGCTGATTTCATGCCTGTCATTTATAGGTTAGAACAGTGGAAGCCGTGTTCACCTGAAAATGACCTGACATGACACCCTACAAAACTAAACTTATTAAACTACTCCATTCTCTTTTTTTTCCTTCTGTTTCAGACTGTGGACTCAAAGATTTACACACATATAAAACAGCTTACACACAACACTTCACAAATTCACATGCACACACAGTGAACACTGTGGGCAGCCAATGAGGAGGAAGATCAGGTGAAATGGGACCTTTCTAGGATACTACTCACAACCTCCCTCTATGGTACACAATGGATGATGCAGCTGAATATGAGTGTGCACATGTCATAGTTTGTTTATTTGTGTGTGTGTGTGAGAGAGAATGTATGTGTATGTGCATAGCAGGCACATTTGTGTGTACAGACATTTATGTGTGCACAGGTACATTGTTTAAGAGTGTGAACGGTTTCCTTTTTTGTTTGTTTGTTTCTGTATAGCTACCACTTGTAAATTGTGACAAGTACGTGTCAAGAGTTTGTAAGCTGTAACTTTCTGAGAACTATTGTACTAAAATGCACTCAATAAACGCCTTGGAAAACAAGTCAATCACTTTATGGTCTGTGACTCAATGGGCGATAATTCTGCTTTCATTAATGGTGAGTCAAGAAAGCAGAGAGGAAGGGTTATTATCCAGTAACACTACTGTCAGCACTGTGCGTGAGTGTGACGTCTAATGCTTGGTTTCATAATGGCTAAGGAAATAAACAGCTTTTTGTCACTGCCGGTCGGGCTGGCAGCACGTGTTAAAAGCCATCAGCCACTAATAAACGAGCCGTCACTCGGATTACACGCAAAGCCCAAAAAATGGCTCTCCAAGTAAAGTGACAATATTTTGACAAACTAGTGGAAATTATCCTCCCATGTAGACTCTTATCTGGGTTGCAAACACACACTTGCGTATAAACACACACACACACACACACACACACACAAAATACATAAGCAGTCACAGTAGTCTCGTAAATTCCAGTTGCCAGAGATTTTTAGAGCACTTCACACACTGGAAAGCCTATTGCACAGTAATGATATGGTTAATGAGGTGAGTCGAAAGATATGGGGATGTATCCAAGTCTCAGCATTCCTCCATAACTGTCTATTGACTCTAATTGATTAATAATATCCAGCTTCATATTAGCGGAGAGACTGCTGTGCTGGGGCTGTGCTGTGCTGTCAGATGAAGCCAACAAGATTTGTGAAACAGTTAATTTTCTGTCTTTTCAAGTTTGTGATATAAATATATACAATATTAAGTTCTTCACTCGTCACTTTATCCGCTTATGAGCGTCTCATTTTTGTAATTTTGGACACCCAGCAGTAATAATAGCAGTAACATTGTTAGCTGCTGACATCTGAGAAAGTAGCTAAAAAAAAGTCAGTTTTGGCAAAAAACACAGGCTGTAAGACAATATAGGTTCAGGTTTAAACAAACTCCCAGGTAAGCCAAAATGCCTTAAAGCTAATTGTCTGAATGCCTGTTTCTTGTAATAACTCTTGTAGAAGTTAGAGTAGAATGTTATCCTAACATTCAAAAATGAAGGCCAAACCTACAAATATTATGAAATTTCCCCTACATGGAAATGGTCTTTGAAAGGAAATGCTTTATCACTAACTCCCTCACGTACTACCACAGATTTTACATAAGATCATGTTGCGCAAGGTCATATAGATGCTTTAATTGCACTTGTAGCGCTTTGTAGTGCTCCACTAATAGTTAAAAAGATGTAATGACCATTGATATGGTGATGTTCTTTATGTTATCGTTCCATTATGCCTTTAGCTTAATTGGACCTGTTTGTCACTTTAATCAGAGCAATTAGAGAGATAGTGGAAGATATGTGCCCTCATGACAAAGAGTACTACATTTCTTTAGGTGTGAAAGATGATTTGTGTGTGTGTGTGTGTGTGTGTGTGTGTGTGTGTGTGCATGGGTGTAAGAGAAATAGGTTGTGATAGACAGATTGAGGCTGACAGAAAGCCAAAGAGATGAAGACAGAAATGAGTATGGAGAACGTTCTCTTAAAAGTATGCTTCATCTGTAACAGGGTTGTTATCACTGACGAGGGAGTCAGCTCACTTTATATCACATTAAAGTCATAGGAAGTTTGAAAAGTGACTTCTCAGCAGCAAATCTTTGCCTTAATCAATATTCCCTGAGCAATCACCTGCAAGAAAAGGATTGGTGCACAGCAGGGAACTCCTGCAGAGAGAAGGGGAGCGAGTTGGAGAAAAAGCAATCCATCCAGCTGTGCAGATCAGAGTGTGGGAGTAGAAAACCTAGAGTGAATACTGAGTGAAGGACAGTGGAGGAACATAGTGAACTTACAACCATGAGACAAAGTTGATGGCAGAGAGAGAGAGGGATGATACAACTGAAAGTAGGCATGTCTCAAATCCATGTACTTGTGTGTGCATTTAAAAAAAAAAACATAATTATTTAGCAAAAACACAGAGAACACAGCATGACAATTGTGTGTCAATCCCCAGTGACTGGTTTCTCGCCTTGTGAGATTGTCCGAGGCCTAAATCTAATCTCGGCGCTTGCTGGCTGTAGGGCCTCAGTAAGCTGTGTGCATATTTACAGTGATCTTGGGGGTCTAGGAAAAGCCTACAGCCAAAATGCTATCAGGGACTTGAGTCTGAGTGTGGTTCTGTGGAGAACTGTATTGTTCTATGCATAATTTGCAAAGAATGAAATATAGCATAACGATGGGTGGCAAACCACCAGAGCAGCTTCAATGCACTTTTGCATAGATTCTAAAAATCTAACTATACTGGATGGATGAAACACAATTCCACCAGGAGATATTCCCTCCAGGTTGGGAAATTAACTTTTGAAAATGTGAACATCTACCACCCACAGACAGATAAATGTTCCAATTCACCAGCCACTCAATAGTAAATCATTATTTTGTGTCTGAAATCTATCAGCTGCTTTAATATTTTACCAGCATTTGGCTGGCAAAATGAGTGGTGTTGCTAATTTCCCACCATGATTTTCTTATTTGGTGTTTTTGGTCATGGTGATAGAGATCTTACATGTTGGTCCAACATCTCCCATAGGTTGTTCAATCGGGTTCAGATCTGGTGATGCACTATATAAAAGCACCTGCAATTGTTTCTCTACTCTTATTTTGGTTCTCCTTTAATCTGTCATGTGTCTATAGTCATGTCAAGTCAATTATACAAATATGGATCAGAGTCAGGATGTCAAGCAACTATTAGTGCTGCCAAAACTGGAAGGAGCTGGGCCACCTTATCTCCTCTCTCTTGCTAAGGCCTGGAAAGATTATACAAACTATACTACATATACTATACAAACAAAAGAGAGACAAAACTCAAGGATAACATTCATACAAAGGGAGAAGAGATAAGAGGTGTGGCTGAGTCTCATGGAGGATGGAGATGAGAATCAACGATATCTGAATGGGTTTGCAGCGTATAACACATGGTCATGTGAACTTTACAGCTGATGTGTCTAGAGGACTGAACTCTTTGTCTGTCTCTATAAAAAGTGTTGGGGCAGGCAGAGTGGAACTCTCTGACTCAGACAGCCACGTGTGGTCTGGCTGAACAAGTATTGACCTTCAGCTTATTTTCCTTGCTCCACAAGCCAAATTTTGACCTTTGCGGAACAACATAGCTAATCCTGCTCAATTCATTCTGCCGTAACGATAGGGAATTTGCATTTCACTTGTTCAGTAATTAAGTTATTGATGGGCCTCAGTGAATTCGGTAAATGTGGAAATACTGCTTTGCTTAATCAAGATGTCAGTTGCAAGATTCAAAGTGTATCTCTCTTAATAGTAGAGGACATTTCTCCTTTTGTGTATAGGAGGAGAAATTCAGCACCTGGGTCAAATGAGATTTTATGTCTCGGAGGAGTTCATCAAATTTAATTATGATACATATAATTACCAAAAGCAATCTACGGTGTGGTAGGAATAATCATTTCAGAGAGACGTTGGCACCTGCAGGGTAAGGCGTAATTTAGAGACAGTCTAGTGACAGGAGAAAGACAGTGAGGGAGAAAGAGACAGAAACAAGTGATTGCTGTATACTCCACTGGGGAAAATGACAGCAGTTGACTCTTTCTTACTATAAGAGCTTAGAAAAATACAGAAATTGTAAATGCCTCTTAACCAATGTTAGTGTCATTCTACTGTTTAGTATCCAATAGGATTACAAAGGATTCATTTGACAAGTACTTGATTTTGGTTGATTATCCAAACAGGGCCATCTTTCATCATACTTCATACCACTCGGAAGAACACAAACAAAAGCTTTGCCGAATCCAGATGTTAGTAAATGAGCCGGATTTATCATAGCAGTGTGTAAAGAAAGACAGTCTGCAGCAGGTACGGAGTGAACAATGGGAGCTGGAGGAAGAGGTGAGTTATGATGACTGGAGGATCACAGCTGTAATTGGTTCTTTCAGAGGGTGAGAAGGGGTAGGGGTTATGAAGAGGGACATTACCCTTCAATTCACACACACACACACACACACATATACACGATGCCTTACAAGTTCCCCAACCATCCCAGAAACCCCCCGCAGAGTCTAATCCCGCACAGAGCCCTTCTCAGCTCCGCCCGCCTTCGATTGCTGCAAAAATCAATGAAATATTTTCCCACCAAAATGAAGAGGAACAATGAACGAGATCCGCACATCAAGGTCCTCCTAATTAAAGAGTTCACACAAAAGGGCTCCTTTGCTTCATGGCTTGCAGAACAGAGGGAGAGAGGGTGGAAGAGGGGAAATAATGGATGGTGAGTGATGAAGGTCATACACTTCCCACTCGTTGCTCCCTTCTCTCTAATATCAACTTCATAACTCATAACCTTGGCTGCCAAAGCGCATCTGATAGGCTGACATCCCTCCATGTTTCTAGCCATAGCTGTGCACACAGCATGCCATGCCAGAAGCTACAAGCTTTTCCTCTCTTTGTCTCCTCCCCTGATGTGTAAAGAGGCATGTCGCTGTGTTTTATCACATCTAACCCTCAATATGGAGGTGGAAGTCCTGCCATATCGTTGTATTATTGAAAGGCCTCTTGATGTCTTTGCTCCAGGTAAGTGCAGAAGGTAAACTATAACGTTCTTGTGTAGAAATGCGCCAATGCCCTTCACTTGACTGCCCTCACAGGGCGATGCAAGAGAGCAGATGACAACAGACAATGCTAACCTCTCTCTAATGAGGGCGTTGGGATAAAGATATGTAAATTTCCCAC